TCTAGTGTGTTTTTTGTTATATCATAAGTGGATGTAAATTTATGATGTGTAGACATTTCATTTTGGTAATGACTATGTCATATGAAATATTTATTTTTTTGTATTGTGGAATTATTAGAAATTCACATGGAGCACCAACTTTCGGCCAAGAAAGGAAAAAATCCATTGACACCATCGTTCTTTAAAAAACTTGATCGACGTCGAACTAGTGAAAGCACATCAAATACCGTGCAAAACGAGCATAATGAATTTTTTTTGTAAAAGATCGTCGAGCGCAACTTCATTTGAAGGAAAATATTATATGATTTTATGAAAATGAGATTTTAAAATTCTAGCCCAGTCTACTCTTAATTTCTGGATCCGTCCCTTTAAGTGTATGAATTATTCATTTTAAAAATATCAAAGTCATGGTGCATGTAGTGTTAGGAAGAAAGTTACATTTGGTAGTTCACGTGACTGCACTATTTGTTATATATCGTTGCATCAACACACATAGGGCTGTCATCGAACTGAACCGAATCAAGTATAAGGTTTTTGAGTTCGGATCGATTAATTTTCGAACATGTTCGTTTACTTTCGTTTAATATTCGAACAAAAAATTTCGTTCGTGTCCGTTCATTTGTTGATCTGACAAGTTCATGTTTGTGTTTGTTGACATTTTTTATATATTTGAATACCATACAAGTTATTTTATTTAATATTTAACATGTTTCCATATTAATATATATTATATTATATATGTATATACTATATATAATATAAAATTATAAAATATCTATCTGTTCGCGAACACTCGTTTAATTCGCGAGCTTGTTCATGTTCGTTCGACACAAAATGAGCATAATTTCACAAACAGTTCGGTTCGATAAGAGCTGTAGAGGCACATAAAAAAATAATTGATCCGTGGAAGAAATATACATGTTGTATTTCCCGAACTTAGGGAAAATAATTATCAATTTGGAATTGAGGGGTTACAAGTAGAGTAGCTAATGAAGCATTTATTATATTTTCCTATAATTTTGAGCAGCTGCATCATTGTTTTTGGTTGTATACATTTATGAATACGCGCCTACCATGAATGCGTAGCTAGAGTTGGAGGTAATTAATCTACCCAACGAAATATTAAGCATTTATTTCATTTTTTCACAATGTTTTTTGTGTGAAAATTGATTGGTTCAATTAATTCAATTGTCATTCCCCAGGCTCCGCCTAATTAATCAAATTTCTTTATATTGTAATTGGCCCTCATTTTTTATTTATGGGTAAACTTATCATACAATTGTCACACATATGGTATAACTATTTTTNTATTATGTAGTTGTCCAAATGGGGCTTTCAATATTGTAGTAAGAAACTAGATTAAATAAAATTATGTGGTGGGTTAAGAAAGTAGAAATACCAAAGCTGTACTTTAAAAAAAGATGTATAAAAAAAATAAAATAATTGAAAGAATATGAGCTACGTAAGAGCTTGTTGTCCACTACGTAGCCCTAAGCACTATGCCACTTTTCAATTTTCATCCCGTATATGTGACTCGTTATATCCACATTATTTCATACATATTATAAATTATAATATGATAGGTAAACGAACCATGCAAAATATTATAATATTAAAACCAAAGCTTTATCTTCATATGCTCCTCATACACAATTCTACATTTAACAGATATTCAAATTTTTGAAATGGTATTTTCAAGTATATGATATTTTAATTTTGGAGAAATAAAGAAGAAGAAAAACATACTATAGTATATTATATGAAATTAGAAAAATCACTACGTCATGAGCCTTGTTGTCGACTACGTTGCTCATCAACTTCGATACTTCTTTATTCTATAATAATTAAAAAAGGTCCTTCAATCAAGATTAATTCAGCCTCACTTGCTTGCCAAATTCAATAAAAATTATATGCTCCCTAGTCCCTACCATATATCAATTACTATATATATACCTCGTCATATTTTACGTTTTTCGTACATATTGATTTATTCCCAGTGCATGTATTCAGCACCACCATGCAATTTTTATCCTATGAATGAAAACCTTTGATATTCAGTTAACTAAAAAAAAAAAAGGAAAAAGAAAATGAAAGGATACTTGTCAAGCGTTGTAAAAATCCCATTGGATTTGTACTTTGAGGTTTATCTGATTCCAAAACGCACCGCTTAGCATATATATATTATGTCAAGCGTTATCAAATACCATGTTTAAGCGGTGGAATAATATATTCCAAGCATGTGATAAATTTCATAATATTATGCCTCATTTTTATTTCTTTTGGCAAAAAGTTAAAAAAAAAAAAAAACTTCCAATGCATTTTATGTCTGTTGTGCCATGGAGATTAATTACAAGTGGAGAAAAGAAAGCGAGACAGCAAAATAATAAGTTAACCAGCTCCATATTTCATATTTTGCTGGGGACTTTTTTCTTATTAGGCAACATGACTCTCTCAGAGCACTCATTGATCAGTTGAATTAGAGAGAGACAGGTAAGACTTAAAAACTTTGCCCAAATTCATATTACATTACAATTTCATTTAGTTATATATATCTGCTTGATAGATTCCTTTTAATTTTCTTGCTGCCTTTTTCCTGGGAGCATGTCTGAAAGTCAGAGAAGATTAAGGAGCTAATGTTTTTGATTGGTTTTGTGTTTGGACATGATGGTCGTCTGGTGGAACAACGTTGAGATCGATTAACATCGCCTTACTACTCTTGCTTCCAGCTGCAATCTGTATGTAAGTTTAGTCCAATTATGTTAATATGTGATAATAATAATATTTTATTTTTATCAAGCAGTTTAATTAATGTAATTCAATTGTTTTTTTTTTCAACTGTGTGTAAGTAAGTAGCAGTGATGCCTCCTCACCTTCTCCTGCAAAACCCTCTTTTCTTCTGCCAGCATTTTTTCCTGCTCACATCAAAGGCATCTCAAGTAAGTACATTAATTAATATTATAGTTTTCAATTGATACTTTATTGCATTCATTATAGTTCTCATGTTGTTTTAAACGTTTCTCGATCCCTGCATGCAGCACATTAAAACTGTTTTCTTATCAAGTCTACACATATTTTTCACATGAGGGGATTTCTCTCAAGATCTCAACAATTGACAAGAAACTAGTATGTGACCCGCGCGATGCGCGGCTTGATATTAAAAATAGTGTAAATGAGTGATAATTTAATAGAAAAATATTTTGAAAAGCATCAATTGATATAATGTAGGATAAATTTTTTATTAATCTATTTAAAAGTACTTCCACAAATACAACATTAATAGTAGATGAACTGTGTTCGTTATCACTAACTGTAATAACAATAATTAGTAAACATGGATCATGACTCTAGAAACAATAACAATGAAAAAAAAATTATAAAATCCAATATACTTTTTTTCTTAAATGTTTTAAAATCAAATTCTTAAGCGTACAAGAATATGTAATATACCATGAAAAAAATTATTTGTCACATTAATGACACTCCTTCAAAATTTTTTCATAAAATTGTATATGTAGTAACATAATTTTTATAGTTCAAAAAAGAAAACAAAGTCATAATTACTATTCTGCAAAGAAGCTTATATTGAATAATTAACGTTAACATGTATGAAAATGAGCAAATTAAAATTTATAAATACAAATTAAATACTTAAGAACAAATTAAAAATAACTTCTATCTGCATGTATTTATTTTTAAATTAAGTCTACAAATTTTTCACTTTTTTTATTAACAAAATAAATCTCAACATTTTATTTTTTTATTTTTTTTGGTAAAATAAGTGCGATGGTGGTTAGAGAATGATGTGAAAGATTGATCATTTTTCATAAAGTTATAAATAGACTCAGTAATCATTAATACTTAAGTCAATAAAATATTTATTTTTTTGCATAAAATCCATTAGAATTGTAATTCAGTGTAATATTAAAATATACTTATTTTTGCATGAAACCAATGAGAATTATAATTCGATATAATTTTTATAAAAACACTTTGAAAATTTTTTTGTAATGTAATACAAAAAGAAAAACATTGAAATTATATTATATAAAATCTAAAAAAAAATAATTAACGTTATGATATATGATAAGGAAAAAGTAGTTAATGCATTATAATAAGTGTGTTTAACTTTATCTAATGCAACGTTCAATTGTGATAATATACCCTCATCATTCTCTTATGAAAAAAAAAATTAATATGAAAAAAAATTAAACGATAATTGACACATGCTAATTTTATTTATAAAATTTTTAGCTGCATAATTGTGTATTTATTAAAATACTTTTTTTTTTGTTTGCATGAAATTCATGATAATTGTAATTCAATGTAATATTAAAGTACTTATTAGTTATTATTTCATGAAATCAGTGAGAATTGTAATTTAATGTAGTTTTTAGAAATGCACATTGACAAACTTTTTGTAAAGTAATACGAAAAATATATTTAAATTATATTATATAAAATCTAAAAGAAATAAAACACATTGTTGTGAAATTAACATTATGATATATGATAAGGGAAAAGTAGTTGATGCATTATAATAAGTTGTGTTTAACTTTATCTACTACAACATTCAGTTGCAATAATGTAATCTCATCATTCTCTTATGAAAAAAAAAAGTATGTTTATGAACAAAAGTCAAACGATAATTGACACATTATGCTATTTTTTCATTTTCCACTATCATTTCGCAATATTCTTATATTGCTTATCCTTAAATGAGACTAAAATAGATGCTCCGAACACTAAATCTATTATTTTTATATTGTATACAAACTATGAAAATAAATGTTCATCTCATTGTACAAAATAAAAGTTTATGTCAATACATATCGAATTATTTTTTATTATATTCTTTAACGTTGTATTTTTTATTTTTATAATATTATATTAAGAAAATAATCAAGATGATTGCCATCAATATTAGGTCAATAGCTAAAACTTATTTTGGATAAAATTTAAGATAATTTTAATTAACTTATTATTTAGAAATACAAAATTATTTTCAATTATAAATAATAAAATATTTAATAATAATATATAAGTCTACGACAATGAAAAGTAAAACTAATAATTGTGATGTATGATGAAGAAAAAATAGTTGTTGCATTTATAGTAAGTTTTAGAACTTTATATGTCGAAATGTTTCGATAAAGATAATACATTATAGAAATAAAACATTAACAGTAATTAAATTAACCCGTACTATGCCTTCAGAAATTATAGTTGTATAATTATAGACCAATTAAAAAAATTAATGAAGGCAAAAACTTTATGCACATATGTTTAAGTGGATTCTTCAAGATTTTCAAAACCAAACAAATTATACCAACTAAAAATTAAAAAAATACCAAGCACTAACATGAAACAACCTAGTATATAGTTGAAAATCATTGAAGAAATGAACGTTATATATGCATTTTTCTTTTCAGTCTTCACAATCAAATCCATGAGTAGTTACTTTGAAATGATGTCATGTCTCTTTGTTCGTACGTTTATCATTTGTGATTTCTTTTTCTTTTTACAATATCAGCTTTGAAATATTAATATATTATTTATCTATGAAATACAGTCAAATTTCATGTCATTTTTGAATTCCATTATGTCTTTTTTTTTTCTTTTGTTTTCATAGCTTTCATATTCATGCTTTATTGGTGAAATAAACTTAAATCCGTATAGTGTTTTTACTCAATTAAGTTATTCAACATTTTCGAGATCTATTTCATATGGATATGAAGGATCATCCCCAAAAATTATAGATGATATTTTTTTTTTGAAAAATACATCTCTTTTAGTCGAATAAATTATGTTATTTATGATATTATAACTTCATTATTTTTTTTTATCTCTTTCTATTTCTATTATATTTATTATTTAAAAAATATATTATAAAATATAATAAACAAAAGTATGAAATTTGGAGGTCTAAGTTTGTATTTTTGATAAAAAAGAATGACATGTTAACTTGACTAACCCTTACTTCAGCTCATATCAGAGTTTGTGAATGATTAGAATTTTTTAATTTAAATTAATAGATCTTGTTTAGGAATGAGGTACTCCGTGAAAATAATTTAATGATCACTTGTAATTTCTTAGAATTACATATAGATATAAAATAATATAATATTAGATTAATAAGAGATGGTTACATATTTTCTTAATGTGTACATAAATTCCATCAATATAGAGTATATGTTTCAAATGTGATATGGTGCTTCTATTAAATATTTATATGTAAACATTGAACATGTATATGTTAAAATAGACAACGTAGAATTTAAATTGACATATCAAATCTAAAAGTTTATCTATATATATGCATATCGATACAAAATAAAAACTATAAAACTATTTATTTATTATATTACATGTGGACATCATATTAGTTATGATCTTTTTCTAATACCTTGAAATATACCCAATATAACCGAAAAAATTAATATTGTGTTTGATGTTCCAATAAAAGATAATAAGTAATTTTAAATAAAATATTTTACTTTAAAATTTATTTAATGATTACTTAAATACGATTGATAATTTATTTTTATAAAAAAATATAATGTATAAGGACTGGAACTCGTACTCACAAACGGGAAGAGAAACAAATAATAAGTGAGATATTCGAATGAGAATTCATAATAAATAATTATGTATAATATTAAGTATTTTTTGTAACAAATAATTGATTATGACAAAACAATATATAATGTGATTTGTATAATATTTGATTATGACTAAAATAAGTATTTATTTGTAACAAGTAATTATGGAATTGTTTGAATGGTAAATAATACATAGAAATTAACAAAATTTATTTCATGGTAGTATATGAAATTGAAGTATTTATTTAGTCAAGGAAGATTGGAGTTCAAATTCCAATACACTTATGAAGAGAAATTAATTATTTATATTTACCAAACATTTTTTTATTGATAAATCATGCATAGAAATTGATAAAATTTATTGCAATGTATTAAATATAGTTTTGGAGGGAAATTTTCAGCTGCTTAGCTTTAATATATATATAGATAGATATTCTTCCTAGCTTCAACTTGGTAAAGTGAAAGAAGACCATAATACCCCATAAAGTGACATAATAAAACAACCTAAGTAATTCAAGAAAATGCATACCTTTTCATTAAGACTTGTTATAGAAGCCAGGAGCATATCTGTCTGCACACATGAAAATTGATACATGGTTATCAAGCAATGGAATCTCCAATTCATAGGAATATTAACATAAAAAGGAGAGAAATTAGGTTCAAACCAGAAAAACTAGATTTTCTCGAAACACAATTTAGTAAAACTCAGATTCAATAATTCTTCAGAGTGGACATAAGTAGTGCGTTAGTTTCTGAGCTGTATGCTCAATGAGCAAAAAATTTTCTCAGTCTCAACAATTACGAGACCCATCCAGTATACAAATTGCAAACATGAATCTCACATTTTTTTTTTCTTATAATAACAGTTAATTCAAACTGTTATAAACCGAAAAAAACTTGAGTTGGGAGAGGGAAACCATGACTAACTGTTATAAATCATGCCTGGCAGAAAAAAACATGTGTGCCACATAAAGCTGAATCATAATAAATCTAACTGGACATCCTTGAACCTATGTAGTAGGTTGTATAGCAATCCGAGGATGCTCGAAATCCACTTCCCTCACCATGCTTTGTTGCTAAGACAAAAATATCCACCCACTCTCTTTGCAGATTCTAGAAGAGGAACTTTAGCATACAGGCCTCAATAAGAGTAAAAAGGAAAACACAAAGAACAACTGACATGTTTCATATTTTAATAATAGTATAAATGTACACATAAACATAGGAGTTAGGAAGAAACCTTTGTTGTTCTTGTTTGTACGAGTGCTTCTTCAAGTTGTTTCTCCAAATGTAAAAGGTCAGTCACGCTCAGCTGCTCAAGAAATGACTCCCTATAATTAAAAAAATAAAAAGGAAAAACAAGATACTTACCGTTAATCCAAAGTTCTTCTACCCAGTTGAATCAAACAACAGTAAACAATAGAGAGAGTGGCTGCCCTTCCGTAATCTGAAGTAGCTCCCCACATGTGAGGAACATCGAATACTTCGAGATCTCTGCCTGACATAGAAAAAGAGTACTAATGTTACAATGTGGAAATTTTTTTCTCTTTTATTTTTTGGTTTATACATAATTATACGATACTGCATCTGAAATTTGGTTTGTTCATTTTTAAAATTCTCTCATTCTGTAACACAAGAAAACTAAACTAGATCCCAACTCTGCCAATCCTAACAATTTCAGATGCATACAACAGTATTATTTAGTTTCATGCCTACTGGCAAGAAACACCCATATCAGACGTGTCATATATGATGTATAATTTGAACACAATACATGCTGTCTTCACTAATTGCATTTAGTCTAACGTACCCTGTTTCGAAGTAAAAGTTTAAAATCCTAGAACAAAATACTAATTTGGTTGTGGCATGTTTGTGGCCCGTGAACAAGGACATTTGCTCAGATAGTTTTATTACATGGTTTTNTTAATAAAAACTCTGCATGAAAAACTTCTCATTGACCTCATCCATTTCTTTTTATGTGCATCTACAAGGTTCGAATACCTGAGACTCATGAGGTTCAGTGGAGGGACTTGGTTCTTTTTCAAAATGCCTGTGATACCGTTGCAGGATTTCGGCCAAGCTGTATAAAGATCAAGAGTGACAAGTCTGATGAGTATAAAAGTTGAACAAAAGGTGGAGACTACACAAGAAAACAATCAATGCCAAGAATGTCACGGGAGATCAAGAAATGGATTCTCCAAAATGCATAAAATCGTCAGATAGAGCTGTAAGTTGCGGTAAGTCATTTATCTGATGATGACTAAAAAAATTTTAAGCTATCAACAGAAGGGAGAATGCATCAAAACTAGACAGTTCAGTGCCAAACATCACAAAGAACATTATATCCATAAAAATTCAACTTTCAGCTCCTGCATGAGTGTCATTGGTCCTGTATCATCCTTCCTATTGTGGTATTTTAGTGATTCTCACTAGAACAAGTTCATCCAACTTACTATTGACATCATCATATATAAACAAAATCCTGGATATTTCAAGTGTCATATACTTTTGGAAGTATAAACAAGTAGTTACAGTACTTATTCAGCTTCACCAAGATTATTTATTTCATATGGAAATAGTGAAGCTGATACTACGCTAGGCGGGATACTGTGGAGAGTCCAGGACAATGTGGAGAGTTCATATAGCTTTTTAGCAGTTTAGTGCAGGAAAAGATTAAGAATACCCACGAAGGCGCCCAATGTATACTTGTCATTTTAGTTACGCTAACATACACACAATCGCATACTTGAATATCTGATGACTGCTATCGGGACAGTCAGTCCTCGACAAAGCATGGCTCTGTGTTTAATGGTAGAGAAAATCGAAGAAACAGGAAAAAGACCAGCTAAGGAAGTGAGAAGACCATAGTACACCCATACTTAACAGCTAAATACAACCGATTATGATATCCTAGAATACCCTTTATACTATAACATCCCCTCAAAGTAGTGAAGGTAGAGCTATCCAAGGATTTGGTAAAAATGTCTGCCAGTTGCAGAGCCGAAGACACTTTGAAAGGGGCCACAACTCTCCAAATGATAATGAATTTCAAGGTGCTTTACTCACATGGACACATGATAATGTACCAGGCAGCTTGTTATCACACTTTTAGTTGCCACACCATGAAGGAATAGGTGTCAGAAAACATAGTAAATCATGAAGGAGATAAGATAACCAGAGATCTATATTCAGCTTAATCCGAAGATCGATACACCGTCATTTTTTTTTTACAAGAAGCTTGTAATGTTAATCTATATCAATATCTATATCTAGATCTATATAATGGACCAAAAACCAAATTTAGAAACATTATTGAACTTCATTTTAGAAAGCAATCCTAAAAGTTTGTTATGTAAATATTGATTTATAATTTTTAAATTCCTATAAATTTAAGTATTGTTATATGAATAATAAAAATCAAATTATATGTGAACAGTTCCATATTTAATAACGCATTATTTTGATATTATCAAATGATAATTTATCATATACAAAAATATGATAGAAACTTAATATAAAACATATCAAATTTAGTTAAATTATAGTGTTGCCCGAAAATATAATGTTTGTCTATTGTGTGTGTATATATGTATATATTCATTAAATAAATTATATATATATATATATATATAATTATTGATATGTGGATAAAACATATTTTATTATAATTATTATTCTAGTAGACGGGTGAAATATGTATATATATACAGGGGGCGGATCAAATGCGTCCAGCTCTTAAAATGCGCCCAGCTCTTAGCAACTACAGACAACTAACCTACCAACTACAGAGAACTAACCTTGCAACTACAGATAACTAACCTAGCTACTACTAACCTAGCAACTACAGAAAACTAACCTAACAACTACTAACTTAGCAACTACAGAGAACTAAGTTAGCAACTATTGAGAACTAACCTAGCAACTACAGAGAACTAACCTAGCAACTACTAACTTAGCAACTATAGAGAACTAACCTAGCAACTACAGAGAACTAACCTAGCAACTAGTAACCTAGCAATTACAGAGAACTAACCTAGCAACTACAAAGAACTAACTTAGCAACTACAGAGAACTAACCTAGCAACTACATAGAACTAACCTAGCAACTCCAAAGAACTAACCTAGCAATTACAGAGAACTAACCTAGCAACTACTAACCTAGCAACTACAGAGAACTAGTCTAGCAACTACATAGAACTAACCTAGCAACTACTAACCTAGCAACTACAGAGAACTAACCTAGTTGGAAGGTTAGTTGTCAACGGTGAAGTCAACGATTTTCGCCGGAAGTCAACGCCGGAAGTCAACGGTCAACGCCAGAGTCAACGGGTCAAAATAATATTTAAATAATTAAAATAATAAAAAGAAAAGAATAAATCTTGACCTACCAAATATTCTGGCTAGGAATGGGTCTCACGTCCACACTTTAAATAAGTAAATGCATTGGAACCAATCCCTAATATATATATATATATATTCCACATAAAAACTATAAATACATTAAAACTATTCAATTTGTGAGAAAACTAAATTATAAATATATATTTATTAATAAAAATGAGTAAATAAAATAATTTATACTCAAGTGAAGTGCCTCCTCTCGTGAGAGGACTCGGCCCTAATTAAAAATGATTATATTTGGTAATCATTGAAATAATAAGATAAAAGCATATGAATTATATATACTGAAATGATAGTATCAAAATATAGAAATTAAATAAAATTAAAATAAATAAAATTTTAAAAAGCAAAATTTAACTATCAAATGGATGATATATCATACAATCGCCAATAAAGAAATAGTAAAATAAAATAAATCTGATAAGTTAATTTTTCATTGAACCAAACATGATTTTTTTGTTGTTAAAAATTAATAATATTAGAAAAATAAATATACAAAAATGTAGTTATTTATAATTTTATATACAAACTAACATTAGAGGCATTCACAACATTTTATAAACTTATGAAAAAATACATATATTGAATAGTCAAATATGTATTCTTCTAAAAGTAACTGAATAAATAAAAAATAATATTAATAATAAATTATATATTATTATTTAAAGATGCATGACAAATCAGTACGACTAGGATCTGAGGTGGTGATGAATTTTTTACCCTTGACCGATATTGGTATCTTGGATGGTTTTGGAGTGTACAACTCATCGGATGTAGGATATAAATGGACACAGTGGGTAAAGATGTTCTTTGTTGATATATAAATGGACACAGTGGGTAAAGGTATAGTCACAATTGCCCCGCAGAAAGCGAAGATTCGAAGGAAGATAATGATAAGCCCATTCTATCAATATACGATAGATTCCACACGCTCCCTATTCTGCATCACTCGGTCGCCTTATTTTTCAGTCTCTTGTTGCTAAGAATCCTTGTAGTTTATTTTTTCTCTCGAATAAAAAAAAGCTTTAGGTTACAAAGTAGAAAAAATAGAACAAGAGAAGCTGCTGGTGAAAACTTGTCTAGATAGTCAATACCATAGACTTACTAGTACCCCTTGGCTACCAATCTAGTCTTATACCTCTGAGTGGAACTATCAGGATGCAACTTCATCTTATACATCCACTTACTACCAAAATGTTTCGTCCCAAGTGGTAAATCAATCAATATCTAGGCGTTGTTCTTTTTTGGGGCCTTCAGTTCTTGTTTTATTACCTCATTCCATTTTTTTTACCTTATTAGCTTCAGCAAATGATTAGGTTCATGCATGTTTTACAAATATGCTAGAACGGACATAACAAAATTGTAGGGTTGAAGCAACATAAAAAGGGACACTGAGTAAATGATAAATGTGAGGTACACTACCAGACATTTTCTTATGCATCTTGTGACGGCATTGGTAGAGTTGTAGAAGATAGCATACAATCAGAGTGCCAAGCTGGTGGTTTTGTAATCTAGTACTATATCTGAGATGAGGAAACTGATCTTTTTGCAAAATTTGTTGAGAGGGAATTTCATTTATGGGATTATCCAGTTATTTAAGGAGACTAAAGGTAAAGGCGTTTCAGTAGATGTTTTGCATTTATCTAGAAATAGAAAATTGGTTTCCAAGAAGTGTACAACTTTAGACAATAAGTTTATCTAAGTTTTCTAAGAAAGGTTTCAGGCTATGTAACTTGGAACTTCTCTTGCCTGACACATAACTAAGAAAAACCCATTGAGAAGATCTTGGTTAGAGTGTTGTTTAATCAAGATTAGTGGCAAATATTGAACCAAAGGATAGGGATGTGTAGTATAGAATATGCCAAAAAAATGATGTTATATGGAGTTTTCAATTTATGAGGAAATAAGCATGTTTACGAGAGTGTAGGATGGAGTATGTCCAGAATTTTAAGTTAGATTAGAGTGAAACATGCATGCCTCGCTATATTAAAGAGTTGTCTATGTTTTATTTCTACTGCCCCGTTTAGTTGGGGAGAAAAGGACATGAAGTTTGGTGTAGAATACCATTCTTCACAAAGTGGTTTTGACAGTCTTGACTTAGGAACTCAATCCAATTATCACTTTTGAATTGTTTGATTTTGATGATGAATTGTGTGTTTATCATAAAGAATGTTGCATACTTGATTCTTATGTTTGAACAAGAAGACCAAGTTCCCCTACTTGGTCATCTACCAAGATAAGAAAATATGGAGTGTTGGTAATATTTGAAACATTGCATGGTCTTCATAAATCAATATAAACGAAATCAAACAAACATTTAGAACAAGGATCACTAATGGTAAAATCCAACCTTGGTTGTTTGGATTTGTGACAAACAATACACTTAGAAGGTAAGTGTTAAGAATTTCCATTACAAGCAGATTTAAGGAATTATAAATGCATCTCTGGTACCAAATGGCCAAACTGACTAATACCGGATTTGACTCATACCGCCTCTATAGCTATCATTTAACCCATAAGAAACCGCCACAATTTTCTATTCTTTTCAATCTTCACCATTTGTTGCAGTGATCCACAATTACAAGTAGGCAGAGGTACTAAACTAGCATATTCATCCCAAAGTCGTTTAAGTTTAGTGAAATAACCCTCAATTAAGTCACTTTCCTGATATTTGAGATCTCATTTTGCAGAAGATACAAAAGTAGTCCATTGTTTCACCAAACGTTTACTCGATTTCTTCCCCCAAAGCTTGCATAGAATCAACGTATAAGAATGTATCTACCAATTCTTTACTTAGTGAATTGAGTTGTAGATTGTGTAATAGACTTCCTCCACTTATTGAACTCGGGCGCATTTGAATTTAACTTTATGCGTCTATTTTATGATTTCGAGTTTCGTTTTCGCTCTAAGTGCAATCATCATTGCTCGCCGCAACAATTCGATCTAATCAACGAAGTTATTACCACAACCATTCTAGGATGATCGAAGTTGGGTAGCGTATATGGATCGTATGACCTCATCAACATCTACCGACTCTCGTTCGTGTCTCTATCATTATTGCTCGCGTTGCGATCTCTTATCACAACGTTATTCCAAGTCGTGTTGTGAACCATCTTCGATCAATTTCCCCCTCTGATGGTTGAGCAAATCGTAGGAGCAGTAAAAACGCCATTAGAGAACATTTAACCAACATTCTCATTATCAATGAGTGAAATAAGTATTCGTTGTTACAACAGTTAGAAACACGAAGTAAATATCTATATACCAGCTGAAAAGTGAAAAGACCTTAATACCCCCATTCTTAACAGCTATCCCTTATACTACAACACTCTGGTTGTTTTTTATAGTATGCTTGTATCAAGACCGCGGGCCAAAACTTATCCACTTGCGTATTATTCTTCATTCCCCAACATCTACCGACTCTCGTTCGTGTCTCCATCATTATTGCTCGCGTTGCGATCTCCTATCACAACGTTATTCCAAGTCGTGTTGTGAACCATCTTCGATCAATTTTCCCCTCTAATGGTTGAGCAAATCGTAGGAGCAGTAAAAACGCCATTAGAGAACATTTAACCAACATTCTCATTATCAATGAGTGAAATAAGTATTCGTGGTTACAACAGTTAGAAACACGAAGTAAATATCTATATACCAGCTGAAAAGTGAAAAGACCTTAATATCCCCATTCTTAACAGCTATCCCTTATACTACAACACTCTGGTTGTTTTTTATAGTATGCTTGTATCAAGACCGCGGGCCAAAACTTATCCACTTGCGTATTATTCTTCATTCCCCCAAACACAATGACGAATGTAATCATCAAACCCTACATGAGTACGCACATACTATACTTAGCAATCACTATTGATGCACCTTTGTCATACACTCGGTCTATCCATCCTTTGTCATACACTCGGTCTTTCCATCCTTGTTTCTTAGCTTTGGAAACCTTTGTGGAAACAAACCTACTTCCCATTATAAACGAGTACATCGACTCATTCTACTAAAAGAGTATATCTACCAATAGATATGAGGGCAAGATAGTTATCTCGAGTGAGATTTTATTGACTTTGTTGAATTTTGTGATCTTCCTTTTAAAGATTAGAGAGAGAAATTCTTGTCATGGACTTAACAATATTTCACGGGAGACCATACATTTTGATAACGAGGTACCAAGAAGAAAGTTGAGTAAAATACTCATACGATGTGAGATAACAAAACATACTAATGTTGATGATATGGAATGAAAATTGGATAATGAAGAGATAATATATTTGTACAATAAATAATTGGGGCCGACTAGGACTAGATTGAGAGGATACTTATAAGATGTCATCAAAGTAAATAACTTATACACTTGAAAGATCTTGTTTTTGCTTTTTATAATATCTTTTGAAAAGTTAAAAATTAAGTTTTATGAGTTTATACGCTTTTGACATCTAAATATGGTTAAAGAGCTTATAAAGCTCCCAGAAGCCCCTTTGGAAATCGCCTCTCCTTCCCACGGTGGCATGTTTGCTCACCAGTCGATGTAACAAGAGATTAATATATCATACTCATAAAAAAAAGAGAGATTAATATATGAAATTATTGTGGATACTTATAATGAATTTCATGTGTGTTTCCTGTATTAATAGTGGTAAAGTAATAACTAAAATAGAACTTTAAGAGAGGGAGAGATTAGAGAATGAGAAGGATATGTGACAAAAAGGAGAGAGAAATGTTGTAATTTTCTTCCACTTCATCAAAGTTTTTGCAAGGTTACATACAATGCTTCTAGGCCCACACATAACAACCTTTAACATTTGTTTTTACCCAAAATTAAATAAAAAGAAAATTAAATATAAAATATACTAAATGAACGACTGACCAGGTGGATTGACAGATCTGACGTTCACAAACACGCCATGTAATCCTCCCTTAACTTCATCAATTGGAGGATTGCGATCCTCCCCCACTTCCTCATTTCTCAATTCTCTTGTTTCAACAATCTTAATTTCCCCAAATTGGTCATTTTTTTTACATATGTAAAAGTGATGAAAACGAAATGGGCAACTGATAAGCACAACAGGAAGAGCCTTTCAAACCGTACAAACGAAGCGAAGTGAAGCGAAGTGAAGTCATAAGTCATAAAAAAGAGAAAGATAAGAATAAGCGTTTGAAGCAGGTAGGCGGTTAGGGGGGGAGATGGTCTTTAGAGGTGAGCTGTGTAGCATCGAATGGTTCCGAACCTTCTCTATAAAATTCAAAGTGGGTGTTCCTGCGCGAATCTCGGCAATCACTTGTTCTGATTCTACATATTTATCGTTTTGAACTAAAAGCAAACTTTTTGGGGGAATATTTACATTAAGATTATGTCGAAGATCTTTACTCTAAATAGTTACATAAAAGTTTATAGAACATAAAAACGCGGGATATCCGTGGCGTGTACGTGTCAGATGAACCAAATCCTCATTCAATTTAATTTTTCCATTCGAAGGGGCTCGCACATGTTTTGCAGTACCCCCCGTGAATACTCCGCCGGTATGAAAGTTCTTATTGTTAATTGAGTACCCGGTTCTCCTCTAAATATCCATTCCATTTTATATGTCGTTATTCACTTTGTCAAGGCTTATAACCTTGGCCCTTCTATGACCGAACTTCGTTTTGCTTCGTTTGTTGGGGCGACAAAGTTGAGACACAGTACAATATCGTCCCCCTTTTGAGATTCTTCTCCCCAAGGATCGAACTCTGTGAACTTATGGCGCATAAAAACGTCATATTTCCAATTGACAGTGGCTTCATCATCTGACGACCATTGACCAGAGTTTGAGAGATAGAACGTCCTCTGTGTTGAGTCTTGCCGTGGTCAAGGGTTTCCAGCAGCAACGCAAGGATGCCGTCGCCGATGGTCAGTGGGAACTCAATTGTAGGGACCTATGGCGGTTGAACACTACGCTTAAGGAGTGAAACATGAAACATAGGATGAATCAATAGATTTAAATGGTACGCCACTGTTCTAACTTTAGGCACAATCTAGAAAGGTCCAAAACATCGTGCTTGATAGTTTAATGTTCTTGCGAAGGGCAACTGAGTTTTGTCGAAAATGTTGTAACTTGTGATAAACCCGATCGCCTACCTCAAACTGTATGTCAACTCTGCCCTTATTTGCATATTGTTTAATACAATTCTGTGTCTTCAGTAGGCTGTCTCTGAGGTCTTACATGATATGATTTCTCTGAGTAAAGACAATCAGAGCTTATTCAATGCATATGGTTCTAATGAGAAAAATGCGGATGGATACCCATATAGGGCCTCAAAAGGTGTACACATTAGATTGGTATGATAGTTTGTGTTATGCCAGAATGCAACAAGAGATAACCATTTAGCCCAATGTTTAGGGTTGCCAAATACCATTATGCTTATGTAGTTCTCTAAACTTTGGTTCAACCTTTCAGTTTGTCCATCTGATTGTGGGTGGTAAGCTAAAGTAAAGGCCAATTGCGTGCCAATAAGGTTAAATAGCGCATGCCTGAAAGATTTGGTAAATATCTCATCTCTGATTAAGATAATACTCACATGATTACCATGTAGCTTGTAGACTGTGTCTAAGTTAAGCTTAGCTACTGTAGTGGCCGTGTATGGGTGTGGTTAGGGTATAAAATGCCCATACTTTGATGACCATACTTTGTCAACCTATCAATCACCACTAGAATGAGCAAGATCATGAGGGAATATAGTGGTTGTAGCAACCTGGTGCTTACCACGTTCTGGCTTGACTCTAGCACACACATCACTTTGTGACCCATTCTGCTACATATTTCTTGAGGTTGGGCCAGTAAAAAAATCCTTTTTACTCGCATATAAGTAGCCTGGGATCCTGAATGTCCTTCTAAAGCTGATTATGCATCTCAGTGAGAATTGACTCGCTCTAGGTGTCATAATCATCAACCACTACACTTTGTCTACACCTGAAAACTTTCCCTAATAATTCAAATTATGGGTAAATGGTAGGGTCTTTTGCCTTGCCCTGAATAATTTGCTTGAATTGATGATCAGAAGATTAACTAGATGATACCTTCTGAACCCGTTTTGGTAGGATAGTGGAGATAGCTTGGCACTGTTCATCAACCCCACTCCTACAAAAAGCATCTGCACCTTTATTCTTCACTGTCTTTTTATGCTGCATCTCATAGTGAAACCCCAACAGGTTAGATATCCACTTCTGTTGCATAGGAAAAACTTCTTCACTATCTTTTTTATGCTGCATCTCATAGTGAAACCCCAACAAGTTAGATATCCACTTCTGCTGCATAGGAGAAACAACCCTCTGGTCTAATAAACGCTTTAAAGTTTGTTGATCTGTCCTGATAATAAATTTGTATCCCAATAATAATGCCTCCATTTTTGAAAGCCATGAGGATATCTAGAAATTCCCTCAAATAAATTAATAATGCCCGACTTTTAGGACTCAGAGTTTTGCTCATGTAGGTAATGGGCCTACCATTCTTCATCAGACCCACATCTAGGCCACATGCATCAATCTCCAACACAAAAGGGTTAAGTAAAATATGGCAGGGCTAACACAGTAGTATTAATCATAGCTTCATTCAGTTTGTCATATAGAATTAGCTTCTAAACTCTAACAGAAAGCCCATTTATTCAACAAATTAGTCAAAAGCCTTTTGATAATGCAATAGTTTTGGATGAACCTCTTATAGTAACTAGTCAACCTAAAGAATCCCCTTAGCTGCTTGATGGTGTTTGGGGTAGGCCACTGAACCATGACAACAATTTTGTTCCGATCAATACCAACACCAGTTCTGGATACTACTTTCCCAGATATTCCATACTTCTTTGCCTAAAGTGACATTTAATTTTTTTAAAGCTTGTTTCACCTCAGATACCCAAGGATATCGGATGTCATCAAAGACACCAACACAGTTTTTCTCAGTTGAGCATAAAAAACTTGATCATGAATGATTGGAACGTAACATGTGCATTATAGAGTACAAAAGGCATAACAAGAAAAACAAATTGTCCATGATGTGTTTTAAAAGCAGTCAAATGTCTGTATTCAGGTTTCATAAGAATTTGAAGATATCCAAATCTAAGGTCAATTTTAGAATATAATTGAGCACATATAATTTATCCAATAACTCATCAATAATGGAACTCATCAATAATGGTTGATTTATCCAATAACTCATCAATAATGGATGATGAAATCAAGCTTAATGGTTCGACTATTCAAATACCTATAGTCGACATATATTTTTCATGTGGATACTTTTCTTTAGCGAAAGAACTAGTGAAGCAAAAAGACTATTATTGTTCTGTATCTGCCCTGATTCAAAATTTCTTCCACAATTCTTTCTTTTAGCCTTCTGACTATGTGAGACCCTGTAAGGGTGCTAGTGTTTTGGAAGGCTGCTATCCTTGAGAACTATTTGGTCATTAACTCCTCTGAGATCTCTTCAATATCCCTATAAGCTTAGGATGGTATGTGTTAGGGGTGCAC